CCTGGTCTCGCTGGCGAGAGGAGCCACCCGCCGCCTGGTCGGCTCCCTCCTACTCGCGTGAAATATGGTGGTGGCAGGCGCCGCTGCCCTTTTCAAATAGGTTGCGGCTGATGACCATGCTACGTGATCTATTTCGCACACAATGCCGGCCAGCGCCAACTGCGCACCACGCCTTAAATAGCCCGGGTGGATTGGATGCGCTGTGCGAGGCCTGACCGTGGCTGCGTGGTGCGGCGTCTAGCCCCCAGCGCACGGCATCAGCACGCGTCTCAGCGCACCGACTTTCGCCTGGGGATTACGCAACACCTCATTTGTGATCATCCGGCGGCTGGAGACGAGATATTTGTTACGTGTGGCGGATAACGTGACCTATGAGGACGGCGGTGTCCGGTGTCGTCCGGTGTCGTCCGGCTGCCCCCCCCCCCCCCCCGGCGCGATTCGGCCTGTTACGCTGGCGAGGTGACGAGCAGCCGACCGTAATGAACGGGGCTGGGGCTGATGGGCGGCAACAGATGCCGTTGGTAACAGGTGGTAACAGGAGGTCGAGATACCCGTCAGGCAGAGTCGGCCTTCCTCCTTTTCCGGGTTAAGCGTGCCTCATGATTCGTGTATTATGCTTTTGCCACCGCGTCTGTGCATCGTGTGCTCTCGCATTTAAACGCAGGCTATTTGGCAGAAATTATCCTTGGACTTTGCTCTCAAAAGCCACTATACGTCCCTTCCGAGCATCAGACAGCTGTCCAAACGAGACGCGCCACGGTGCCGGGCCGGGTGTTTGGGCCCTGCAGTGGCGCCATCTGCGTCGGCCGGCCAGGTGCGGGACTGAGAGTGCCAGGCGGCCGTCACGGGCCCACCGACCAGTGACCCGTGACCGGGCGGCGCCGCTTCCGTGTCAGAGTCGACGCGGGCGGGCGCGATAAGGGCGGCTCGACCTCGGACCGGTCCGGCGAGGCCGACGGAAGGAGGCCGCGGCCGCCGCCACCTCGGCTGCATGCTCATGCCGCCCGCAAGCCTTGCAATCGTGATGGGCGGCTCGCCGGCCACCTGATGGCTCCCGCTCTGCCCACTCGGGGGAGGGAGGAGGGGTGGCCGAAACCAGGCGGCCAGCCAGGCTGGCGATGCTGAGAGGGTACGTGACTTACGCGACCTGCGGAGAGGGTACGTCCGTCCAGACGAGGCTTTCGTTGTTAAGGAGGATTGTGGCAGACGCGAGGCCGCTCCAGATGCTCAGGAGCCTGCCGGGGCCGCCTCACAGGAGTTTGGCAGTGGTTCGGGCTTGCCCCGGCTGTCGGCCTGCAGGCCGATGTCCGACTCCTGACGAGCTGCGACGCGCCGCCCGCCCTCCTGGGACGGTTTGCATCCACTGTGGTCTCGACGGGCGTGGTCTGTGGGCCGGCTCAAACGTGCACAAGCGGCAGCCGTGCGCCTGCCACCGCGGCGGTGACGCCGCGGCCCGGCCGGGAGCTGCCCGGGCTCGGCAGCTGGGGTCGATCGGTCGGTAATCCGTCCGCCAGCCGGGCTCGGCCGGCTCCTGTGACCGGCCGCCTACTGCCGTCTGCCGACGATCGAGCCGCACCCCCTGCCCCAGCCGCCGGCGTCACGCGAGTGCACGTGCCCCGGCCGCCGCCACAAAGGTCTCGCCGCCGGCTCTGGCCGGTGGCGGTGGAGCTCGTTCCGGTGAAGAGGGAAACGGCAGGTCGTATGACGGTGGCAGTAGTACTTCGCAGAACGCCTGCAAAGGGCATGGCGGTCGCAACAAGGTTCTGGTGAGCCGCCTTATCATTGGGGCGCCTCGAGTTGTTTTTGCGTGCGTTGTGTGACCTTTTCCTGGGTTGGAAGTGATACAAAACACGAGCTTTGTCAAGATTATAACTTAGTACCATGCGGAGCTTAAGCGATAATAGGCCCCTAGGTTAATCTCTGAACACGCCTCTAGAACATCTGGGAAGCAAAGCATCGGCGATGGCTACCCGCGCGGCAAAAAAAAAAAACAGGCATCTAAAAGCCAACGCTAAGCGGTTTGCGCGGGTGCCGTTGGCCCGGCGGCAGTGCCGGCCCGGCGCGCCTCCGCACGTGCCGGTGCTACGACTGCAGGGACGCCCTAAGCTGCGCGCACGACCATGCAGTGGTCCAGCTGACGCTGTGTGCCGGCGGTTCTTGCACACGAGCCGCCGTGAGGGCACGGCCGCCGGCCCGTGCAGTCTTCCCTGACCGCTGCCGCCAGTGGCGGGACGGCCACGGACCGGCCGAAGCTTTGTTTTTAGAGAGGGACAGAGGCGGGCAGCAGCCGGGCTGACCTGCTCCTATGGTGCCGTGCTCTCCCGCCCAGGTGCTGCTGGACTGACTCACTCTGGTGATGCGCTCTCCCGCCCCGGTGGTGCCGTGCTCCCCCGACCTGGTGGTGCCAGACTGCCCCGCTCCGACGGTGCCGTGCCCCCCCCCCCCCCGCCTAAGTGGTGCTGGACCGCCCCACTCCGATGATGTGCTCTCCCTCCCCCCCTGGTGGTGCCGCGCTGCCCCGCTCCGATGGTGCCAGTGCTCTTCCGCGCGGGCGGCGGCCGGGCTGCCCCACTCCGGTGGTGCCGTGCTCTCCCGCCCTGGTGGTGCCGTACTACCCCGCTCCGATGGCGCCGTGCTCTTCCGCGCGGGCGGCGGCCGGGCTGCCCCACTCCGGTGGTGCCGTGCTCTCCCGCCCTGGTGGTGCCGTGCTCTTCCGCCCTGGTGGTGCCGGACCGCCCCGCTCCGGTGGCGCCGTGCTCTCCGGCGCGGCCAGCGGTCGGGCTGACCTGCATGCGGCCTCAGCTGACCCAGATGCAGCCGGCCGGCCGGATCCTCGTCTGCTCGGCACGCGGAGGCAGTGGGCCACGGCACCCCCGCAATGTAGGCTAATTGAAGCGGGCCTGGTCGGGCCCGCCGCAGAGGGCACGCCTGTTGACCTGCACCGGCGGCACCTGGCCGTTTACGCTCAGAGAACGCGGGAGACGAACGCTGGGACCGGGCCCGCAGTAGAGGCGAATGTGGCGCGTGATGTGGAGCCGGCAAGCGGACTGTAAAGGGAGTTTTACTGCTCTTGGAGGGAGCCGAACTTTGCGTGGTATTTCACAGAGACGTGATTTGTCACTGTCTGTAGACTTGCATTGAGTATGCCCGTGAGCTATAGAGGCAAACGTTAAAGGATTGGAATGCAGCGGTTTGTTATGGTAATCGTGGACGTGGGCATCCTAGTAAACGGATGCGTGTGGCGCCTCCACCGGGCTGCTAATTACAATTGCATTTCGAGGGCTAGATGCATGCAGGACGGGGCTCAGTTAATTCAAATTTCGGGGTCTAATGGCATGGCTCATCAAGGAAACAAGTTATGTTCTTATATGCTCATGCACAGTGCATTGCTACCACACCGTTGCATTTTGAGGTCAACTATGCATGAAATTGGGATAATTTTGTTTCAAATGTAGTACGTTTGATGTGATTTGTGCAGCTTAGTAGCGTTGAATCCATGCGGAATTAACACAACTTATGGCTTTAGCCATTGTGTGTTGTGCACTTAACCATCGTTGTATAATGAGTTTTAGCCGTCCGTCTCATTGGCAGCGGCGCGCCGTGTCTGTGCTGTGTGCTTCCGCGTGCGCTCGCTGACCCTGACCCCGCCGTCTGGCCGCAGGACCACATCAACTGGTACGGGGAGGACGAGCTGCTGGGCCCCGTGGTGCTGTCCATCAAGCCGGAGCAGATGTCGTCCCAGGAGCACATGCGCCTGATCCTGCGGCTGCGCAGCGGCACCTGTCACGAGCTGGTGCCCACCTCCTGCCTGGGCCACGCGCCCACGCCGGCCAGCATGGCCAAGGTGAGCGGCCGCCGCCGGGCGCGGCGAGGACGCCCGGCGCGCCGGACCGCCGGCACCGCCACGCTGGTCGGCCGCCGGTCGGCCGCCGGCCGTCATTAGCGCTCGTTAGCGACACCGCTGCCGTCGGTGCCCGCCGCGGGCGCGCCGCCGACTGTGATTGCCATCGGACACAGTCCGTCGGCTCGGTGAGCGGCGGGCCTGGCACGACGGTGTGTGCAGAGCGGCGTCTCGGCCGCCGCTGATGGTGCGGGCCCGCGTCATGCAGGTCAGCAGCGCTGGTGCCCCGGCCGCCGCTGGTGGTGCTGGTGCCCCCGGCCGCCGCTGCTTGTGCGGGCCCGCCTCACGCAGGTCCATCAATCGGCGCGCTCGCTCCCCTTTGTCTGCCCACCCCTGGTTACGGTCGTGCCCTCCCCCCTTCCCCCCTATCCTGCCTCCCAGGCGAGTATCGCCCCGCCATCGGACCCCGGCTGGGGCGGGGCGGACCATCGATTCGCCGCATAAATTACCGACCCGGCCGATAACGGCTGCTCGGGCCGTCCAGGGCTGGGTAGCATGGTAACGGCAGCCGGGCCTCCCCGGACCGCGTGGCATGATAACGACAGCAGTGACTCTCGAGGGCCGGGCGGTGTGGACCTCGGCTGGTGTCGTACTAAACCACACGGCGCGGTAAGCAGAGTCAAGGGCTGTTCCGGCTGGACAACGTGGCGGCCGAAGCCGCGGCCGCCGCGTGCTGGACGGCGTGTTAACTGTGGCTGGGGTCGCCGCCGGGCACGGCGTCGGTAGCCAAGATCGCCCCCAGGCTGCACGGCGTGTTAACTGTGGCTGGGGTCTCCGCCGGGCACGGCGTCGTAGCCGGATCGACCCAGGCTGACGGCGTGTCAACTGTGGCTGGGGTCGCCGCCGGGCTGAACGGCACGGCGCCGGTAGCCGGGATCGCCCCAGGCTGGACGGCGTGCTAGCGGCACCGAGGGCGGTGTAGCGTGCAGTGAGATGCCATCGCCGCCTGTGTGGGGGGCTTAGTGGTGCAGGCGACGGGGGGCGGCGGCGCGGCTTTGTGCAGCGGGCACCTGATGGAAGGGCCATCGCACGAGGCGGCGGTCCGGCGACGTGACGCCGCGTGTAGCTGACAGTCATTGAGTAGTGCGCAGTTTGGTGGCGGGTGGCCGCGTGGCGCGGACAGGGAGGCGCCGATGGGCTGCGATGTCCTTACCGGTCGGACGAAACCAGGCCGGCCATTGTCTGAGGCGTCGCACCGAGCCTGCGCCTCGGATGTT